TTATTTTTCCATTGTAAAATATCCAAATATCCAAATACTGTCTTTTATAGAGCTCTCCATGTCAAGCAAACCTAGGCTAAAATGAATACTGAAGTGTTTTCTCCAGTTAGGAAGGCAATTACCTCAAAGGGGAAGTTGTAATTGCAGGAGGTGATAAAAAAGATGGAACTATAAGTGAATTGTCTGAATACTCATTGTGCATAATACTAATAAAGTGGTTTGCGGTTCTTAATAAATAGGTAGAAGTAAATAGTGATTAAAGTGATCATTAAAATCTTTTGAAAGCTTACTAAAAAATTTAAAAATGATAATAACCTAAAAGGGTAAAATTATAGCTTTAATCATTTTATTATCCCTCCCAAAAGTATGAAAATTTACTATTACAAATAGTAAATGTGTAAGTAGAAATCTGAAAGTATCAATAATTAAATTAAATATAGTGGACTGAATAATCCTTATTGAAGACTTAGAATATCAGACTGGACTAGAAACCCAAGCTATTTCCTACTTAAAATAGATTTTCTTAAATATAAGGAAACAGAGAAGGGAGAGAGTAAAAAGATACATCAGACAAAAGAAACAAACAAAAATGCTACTTCTGTTTTACTAACTTCAAAGTTTGCTGTATGATAACATGTAAAGCATCATGTTATTAGATGTAATACAAGATATTCCCTAACAATCATTCTGTCAGCCTTCCAGGATGATATCCATGATTTTGTGATTCATTTAGAGGCCAACACCATACTACCCAGCAGAGTAGCCACTAGCCACATATATCAAGTTCAATTTATATCATTTAAAATTAAGTTAAATTAAAATTTGGTTCCTCAGTCACGTTAGCCACATTCCATGTGCCCAATAGATACATGTGGCTGATGGATACCATATATTGGAAAATGCAGATAAAAAGATTTTCAGCAACACAGGAAGTTCTATTGGACATTGCTGCCTTAGAGTTCACAGCATGCTTTGTTGACTTGCTAATAGAAATGAATACTTTTACTATTTCCGGTCCAGTGCAAGAATGTCAGAAATCTTAAGGTCAATTATTTTTACCCCAATTCCTGTACTATGTTAGGATTTTCTGTATTGTAATTTCATGTATGCTTATGTATATTGATATATATTTGCCTCCATGTTTTTATGACCAAAATTTGCTTAAATTTATCATATATATAAATATATATAATATATATGTATATTTCTTTTGTTTACTCTTCATTTCTTCTTACATCTTTTTTTGTATGTTCTGAGATTATTTTGTTTCTGACTATATATAACTTTTATTATATATTTTAGTGTTGGAAGCCTAGTAACACATTCTTTACAGGTTTGATTGTCTGAAAATGTCTATATTTGTCCTTCATTTTTTTTTTTTTGAGAGAGAGAGAGTGGGGGGCAGAGGGAGAGAGAGAGAGAGAGAGAGAGAATCTCAAGCAGTCTCCATGCCCAGCACAGAGCCCAACTATGGGCTTGATCCCACGACCTTGAGATCATGACCTAAGCCAAAATCAAGAGTCAGATGCTCAGCTGAGCCACCCAGGTGCCCCTCTCCTTCATTTTTCAAACAAAGACTCATTAGTCAAGGACTCTAAAGTTTTCTTTCTTCAGAAATTTGAGGATCTTTAATTTTCTTTCTACTTTCCTTTTTTCTGTTTAGAATTCAGCTGTCAATCTTACTGTTGCTTTTTTTAAGGTAACTTGCATTTTCTTTCCCTTTGGTTGCTTTAAAATTTTCTCTTCTTTTTTGTTCATCAGTTTGACTCCAAGGTATTCTCTTTATTTGTTAGTTTAAATATGTTCTCCAGAAAAATCTCTAATTGTCTCTCCAGCTATGTCTAATTTCTTTTCAATCCATTCAACAATTCTACATTTAACTTATTGCATTTTTCAATTTTAGAATTTCTATTTGGTTCTTTTAATTTTTTTTCTTTTTTTTAGAGAGAGAGCCTGAGTGGGGTTGGGGGGAAAGGGCAGAGGGAGAGGGAGAATCTTAAGCAGGCTCCACACCTAGCATGGAGCCTGATGTAGGTCTTGATCTCATGACCCTGAGATCATGACCTGAGCCCAAATCAAGAGTTGGACACTTAACTGACTGAGCCACCCAAGCACCCCTCTACTTGGTTCTTTTAATGTGTTTCTCTCTTTCTTAAAATTTTAAATCTATCTTTTTATTTCCTAAAATGAATTCTACTATCTGATATATTTTGGATTTAGTCATTTCTTAACTTCTTGAAGTCTAGGAAATTTCCCTAGGATATCAGACGATCTATGTCTACATCATCTATGTGTATCATCTATATACTCATTTATATCTGTGTAAAACTATATCCACAATTATATCTATACCTCTAAGTCTATGTCTGCATTTATAATTTATATGTATCTATGAAAAGAAATAATTTAAGGTCACCTCTATACCATGCTAAATTTTTTTGTAGTTTGAAGTTTTTATTTAAATTCCAATTAGTTAACATATAGTGTGATGTTAGTTTCTGGTGTACATTACAGTGATTCAACACTTCCATACAACCTCAGGTACTCATCACAACAAGTGCACTCCTTAATCCCCATCACCTGTTTAACCCATCCCCCTGACCACCTCCCCTCCAGCAACCCTCAGTTTGGGTTTTGTATAGTTAAGAGTCTGTTTTATGGCTTCCCTCTCTCTCTCTCTCTCCCCCCACCATGTTCATCTGGTTTGTTTCTTAAATTCCACATATGAGTAAAATCCTGTGGTATTCGTCTTTCTCTGACTGACTTCTTTTGCTTGCATGGCACAACTTCTTTATCCATTCATCAGTTGATGGACATTTGGGCTCTATTCATAATTTGGCTGTTGTTGATAATGCTGCTATAAATATTGGGGTGCATGTATCCCTTCAAATCTGTATTTTTATATCCTTTGGGTAAATACCTAGTAGTGCAATTGCTGGATCATAGGGTAGCTCTATTTTTAATTTTTTGATACTGTTTTCCAGAGTGGCGACTCCAGTTTGTGTACCATGCAAATCTAATCGAGCATTGAAATGATTGGGAACTTAATTTCAGTTCATAGGAAAGGGTAAATATTGAAGTTTCAGCCTAGTCCTAAGGTGTGGTTCAGAGTCACAATTTTGGTCAAAATCATTGGAAATTTCTAACTTTCAGTTTTGGTTACCTGAGCTCATGAGTCTCATCAGCCTCCCTTTTGGATTCAGCAATATCCCTAATTGAAAAGTAGTCACAAATTCTATGACTTTGTTGTTGTTGTTGTTGTTTTTAAAACCTCCCTGACACTTTGGCCCTGGTAACTTCTGGACATTTTCACATATATTTTCTTTGTCTAAATTTTCTAGACAAAAATATTGGTTCCAAGTATTTTTTTCATGTGTAAGTATATCAATTTTTATCTTATTCCCCCCCTTAGGAATAAGCTTAAAATTCATAACCAAACCTTAGATGAAAGATTTATCTTATAATTATGAAAAAGTGGCTAGAATAGGTGAGAAATAGAGTAGGAGTGTCCAATCACAAAATTATTTATTTTATTTTTAAGATTTATTTATTTATTTTAGAGAGAGAGAGAAAAAATGTGGGGGGGGCAGAGTGAGAGAGAATCTTAAGCAGACTACAAGCTAAGTGTGGGGCCCAACCTGGGGCTTGATCTCATGACCCTGAGATCATGATCTGAGCCAAAACCAAGAATCAAGTCTTGACTGTGCCACACAGGCACCCCACAAAACTATTCTAGTAGTTTGAATGGAAGATGGTGGAAACAAGAATTATTGCAAATTAAAATATAATACCTCTAAAAAAATAAATAAAAGGTAATACCTCTAAATGCTGGAAGAACAGTTACTCATTAACTATTTTTAACCATGTTTATCATTGTCACACCATATAAAATATCCTTCAATTGTAATTAACCAAATTTCCCGTCATTCCTTCAATGTAAAAGTAATTTTCAGTCTTTTCTACTCTGTTTATTTTATTTCATTTTCCCAGATTTCCCTTTTGCCCCTTCTAATACTCCTATGTCTTTGCAATTCTAAATAAACTTCACCTTTTAAGATGCCATGGGACAGGTATTCCTTAGAAGTTCCTTATTCCTTCTGTGTCTCCCTTTTCTTACACTTAACATAACAAATTTATAATGAGTATCTTTCTCTAAGGACTGTTGTATAGCCTAAAGAAATAAGGCTTAGGGACATTTATTGAATATGTGTTAACTCTTTTTGTTGTCAGTTTTAAGTTCCTTATCAAAATCTATCTATTTTCGCTCTTTGCTATCCCTGAAAATACTTTGCCTGAGAAAACAGAGAATATTATCATGGAAAAGAGAAGTAATGTTTCCCCATTTTTTAAAGATACGCATTAAATCATCACTCCTGATGGTATCAAATGCTAATTATATTTTAGTTTGAAACATGAGTAAAAACCAAGGTGGAAATCATCCTTATGATTTTAGATTCTTCACTCAAATTTTATGGTATTGCTCATTACACATATGTAGATAAGATCATATTGAATACTCATCAGTGAGATGCAGGTGTTTATCACTTTTACTAAGAAATAGTGGGTGACTTCAAGCAAAGTTACTTAAAATTCATCCATAATCGTGTTCATTTGTCTTCTGTTTAATTTTTCTTTTCATGTATAAGCCTAACCATATAAATGTAAATATTATTTTTATTCCCTGCATTTCTTATGTAACTTTCAACTAGTCTGCTACGTTATGCCTGTTGGCATTCCCACGTCTTGTGAGGGAATTAATTTAATTCCTGGATCTGAGATTTCAATTCATTAAAGTCTATACACTTAAACAATAGTCTTCTACTACTTATAGTTTGAGTAAGAAAAATATCTGAGGTCCCTCAAAATTCAAATCCCCAATTTCTTAGGATTTCAAAATCTCTTTCCAGGTGCATATTGATCTTTTCATAATAATCCATTATCTATAATAATCAAAAGCATAGTCAATAAAAACTAACAACAATAAACATAGCTGGTTTCAGAACCAATAAATTTATTAGGTTATAATGATTTGGTTTTTCATACAATTTTGGAAGAAAATCCAATAACATGAATTTTATCTCCAATGCAGACTTTAGATTTTATTTTCAGTTAGTACATTAATTATAGAATTTTTCAAATAAAGCCTGTCAGCCAGTATTTGGAGCCAGAGACAAGGTGAGGATTTGATAATCTAAGAATAAGAAGATAGTTCTTCCTATAGGTGATGGAGATAATAAAGGTTATGAGTAGAGGCATTGGTGAGATTGGACAACAGGATTATAAATTTAATAAGGTTGATCAAAAGAAACCAGATCCACAGGTTGGTCTGTAACAAGAAGTCTAACAGCTCCTAGAAGCCAAGTAGGTTGGATGCCAGAATCTGGATCCATAGCCCAGAGAAGGGAAGCCACAGACTCCAGAACTCATGGATCTGGAGCCCTGGGATCCACAGCCCAGTGAGTAGGAGCTTTTGGATCCATAGCCCAGGGAACGGCAGCTGCTGGACCCAATGCCCACAGACCCAGAGCAAGTCGTCTGGCAAGGACTGCAGAGTGTGGAGGTCCTCGGGCGGTGGCAGGACGTCTGGCACGGGCTGGACACCACACGGGATGTCTGGCAGCTGGTGGACTCACAGCAGTTCTCCTGACAGCCACTGGGGAGAGAGGATCCCAGCTGGCAGGTGCTGGGAGAGCATAGATCAGTGCGGTAGACCAGGTTGCTGGGGCAGGAAGAGCCACAGGAGGAGCTTGGGGAGCGCAGGTATGCCCCAAAGGAGCGGGAGGAGTATTTTCCAGAGCAGCAGTTGTAAGACATGTTGGCAGGAGATGTGAGTTCAGCTTAGTGACAGCGAGAAGATTCTGTGTTTGAATATCTTACTCCTCAAGTGAGGCATTTATATACTCTCAGCAATGGGTGTGGCACTTCACAATGTCATCTTTTCAAAATTTGGAGTCCTTCATTTGCATACATATAACTCAGTTATCCTTTTTTGTAATTGGAGTTAACTACCTCTCTTCATCTTATATTTATGGGTTCACTCATTTTGTTTTTATAGCCCCATGTCAATGAAGTAAATCTATGTTACAAATGCTATGACAGTTTGTAATTAATGCCTACTCCATCATGGTCAGGGAAGCCCCTCTGATTTTTCTGGTCATGAAAACATGTGCATGTACATGTGCTCAGCTTTGGCTGAAGAGTGCTTTCTTCCCAGGGGGGAGATTACAATGCATTCATCTCTCTTTTGTGTCAGTGGCTGAGAAGAAGAAATCTGGTCTTGATGAGGAATCTTCTAAATATTGCTCCTACATCAAACCACTGATTCACACTCTAATATAATTTTGCATCTATAACTTACTATTAGCATTCCTTACTATGACCAGTCTAGAGGGCTCTTATAAAAGCAAGCCAAAAAGATTGACAGAGATGATTAGAAGTGGGCATAATCCTGAACAAATATGCTGTAAAAACTTAGTCTTTAGAAAAATGAAATCAAATCTAAAGCAAGAAGAGACCAATATGAACGCATGTGAAGAAAACTAAAATGGGAGATGCTATTGAGATGAGGTGAGGAAACAAGGGACAGTGGTAGAGAGGGACAAGTCTGTCAAGATGTTCTTCTACCCCATTGGATGACTTGTGGATATTCTACTTCTTAGTTCAATCATATAAAAGTTTTTCAAAATGAACTTAAATCATGCCTTTTGTGAAATACATTTATATGCTCAAAACATCCTGGGGTTTATCCTCCCACAACACCTCAAAATTTTGAATGTTATCTGAGTATTTCCGAGGTCATGGCAGATCCTATATTTTTCTCCCTACTTTTGATACATGCTTCTGTCCCAGCTTTCTTACTAGAGGGGTCCAGGTTATGTGAATCCTGAAGTTTATAATTTGGGGGTACTTCTTTAAGAAAAAGAATACAACATTATGAACATAATAGTAGATATAAATATGAATGCTAATTTAGAATAAAACAATATTAACAAGTAAAAACTTATAAGATGACAAAAAACACAAATATCACAAAATTAAGACAATAATATATTATCGTAATCATCACCAACATCTATAACATTTCCTCTATATTTATTGGCTGCATAGTCTTCGATCACTTCTACATATGAAAATGATTTTGTCAACGTGATCTTCTGTAGAAAGAATAGAATATATTTCAGTTTTTCTTCTAAGGTTATGAATCAGAAAATACTTAAATTATTTTTGATGACACAGAAAAGTTCCTTTCAACATTGTTATTTATTAGTAATGCCACATCTGTAACATCCTGTGTCATTTCTTCTCAGTTGGTGCTTCAATCCTCGGATTATGCATATCTCAGCTTAGTGTCCCTGCTTTATCTCCCCATCCCAGTCTCCTGGCCCTAGAGGTTGTGGACTTGTGTGAGAATCAGCTACAAATGGCTGTGGACCCTCGGTTTTAGTGATCTTTTAGGTAGCAGAGTGATGTTTTGGTTTTAATCCTTCTTAAAGTCAAAACTCCCTGAAGTTCTGAGGTTCATCAGGTTGATTCTAGGGTCTAGAGGTAGTACAGGCAGCTTTCTGGATCCACCCATAGCCTCAGAACTACTTCAAGGGCAAATGCCTGACTCTCAGGATACAGCAGCACAACTGGAGCAGTGGGTTCCTCCAGACCTCCCTGAAAGAGTGCAATGGAGCCTTGGAAAAGGTCATACAGAAGAACCCTGAAGAGGACCCTCCCATGGAAACTTCATTAGGTTAAATCTGTCTCTGTCTTTACCTAAGTTGCTCTAACCAAGACACTTGAACATGTGCTGGTGACCTTCTGTCTGAGATATCAGGGACCCACAAAGAGTGCCCAGGTGTCTCTTCAATATACTTTCCATGGAAATGTCTCTGTCCAGAGTTCTAACCTAACTTTCAATAATAGCATTGTGGTGGTTAGTTACTGCTTTTATTATTTGCCTCTGGTCCTCTTTAACACCAAGTTTTTTTTTTTTTAAAGGAAAATGTCTGATAGATTTATCACATTCTTTGAGTATACTGCTGTCTCCTGCCAATTTGGTGTAACATACACCAAAATTCAACTATGTGGTATCAGGTACTCAGATAGTATAGTGCTGTGGCTTAAGGCATTGAGTTGCAACTCTGATAAAACTACAATACCATTTTACTGTAAATGCTTAAATTAACAACTTTTCCTCAATGTAAGAGTAGGTTTCATTGCAATTTTACAAAAGGAAACACTATACAGGACTTCTGTAAGTCCAAGAAATGATGAAGTAGCTGAATTCACATCAAACAGCTACTTTTAAAAAGTTTATCTTATGATCTTTTAAATTTCTACATTTTTTTCCCTATGGGTTTCTAGCCACTGAGATAAAAGTCCTAGCCCACTCACTGCTGTGAACACCATGCCTTTCTCAAATCACTGTTTTTCAAAGAACTTCTTGGAAATAGTAGTCTTATAACAAATGAGAGTGACTTTTTGCTCACTGGATATAGGACTATTGTTAATCAAAATAATAAAGGCAGCAAAATTTGTCTATAGTGACAGAACCTTCCGGCTGCCCTCACAGGCATACAATGATGGCCTTCTCTTCCTTGTACATCTGACCCTCCTCACGTCAATGTGGTAGTGTTGATTTTAGCTGAAATAACAGATCACAAACCTCCAGGTCCTCTACCAAATCCAGCCCACACAGGTTTGTTCATCACACAAGCATGGACCTCCCCCCCACAGGTTTTTTATTAAACTCTAAATTAGTCACCAATATTTAAAAATCAAAAGAATTAATACAAAATATGGATTTCTGACATCTTTTTAAAATTCTGAAAATTTGGTTCTGCTGGGCTCCCTTGCTTGCAGCTGCCTGGAACTCACTATAAGCTACTCCATTCATAGAGGATGTGCTCCCTGAAATTCCCGAGTTCAGCTACTCCTCTTTATTTTATAGTTGTGGGGCCCAATTTCAGTTGTCATTAGTCATCAAGCCCGTGCTATTATTTTGTTGTGTTAGTTAATGTCACTATCACAGATTGAGAGGCTTTGGGTTTTAAGACATTTTGTGAAAACAATCTCCCTGTGCACTTGAAGGATATTTTTCCATGTTTAATAGGAAAATATAATGCATCTATGTTGGTGGAATTGGATTATAAAAATACCAATCATGAGACAAATCACAGGTCAACTGCATCACCTCACTTAATGTTTATTATCCTCTGACTTAAAATACTCTACATGCCAGCAGAACGTGACAAGGTTTTTATATACTGGGCAGTGACTTAAATCAGTGGTGTCTTACTTCTGAATATGCAACAGAAGTAACAAAGGGGTCATTTTAGGACATACAAACCAACCAGAAAAGAAATAAACAATTTTAAAAACCAAATGATTGAATTCCTCCCTAGGCTGCCCCACATGTGATTCTGATGTACTACCATGGTTAGATTAAAGGGTTAACACAATTAAATTAAATTAAATATTAAATTAAATTAAATTAAATTAAATAATTAAAGGGTTAACATCTAGCCAGGAGCCCGCAGGAGATACTCATAGCCATGTGACATCATTCTACTACATGCCTGACAACTGTAAACACCTTTGCACAGGGATTGTCTTTCCAAGAATATGAAGTACAACATTATAAAGAGAGAAAAGGAAATCTATTTTCTGTTTATAACATCATAATTCTATTGTAATGGACAGTTCCTGCTAATAATATGCTGCATCCTCTCTTCTTGCTACTATGCAGCTATAATAGCTGTTACGAATGCTGTTGTTTGGAAACACTGAAGATGGATTTAGTAGCATTAATATCCATCCTGCAAGATGCAGCATCCCAGGGTTTGAACAAAGGCTGTGTGTCACTACCCAGTGACATTGTGCAGATGGCCTCATGATGAGTGGTAATGACTCACTATAAATACAGGAGAGAAGAATAGCAATTGTGACAGACTGTGATAGCTAAATTTGGAAGGCAGAATAAAAACAAATTTTGAGTTAGAAATCAGATGTTAAATGTATGAGCAGAACTAAAATGGTCTGTGGTATATAGTAGGCACTCTATAGACATATGTTGATTGAGTGAAAAGGGACATTGTCTTAATGTTATAAATGTCTTAAATGAAGTAAGTCACCTAGGAAGATTACATAAATATTAACTATTTTTGGTGTGTTCTTTCTTTGATTGACAGCTTAGTGAAGGTTGACTATGTGTATCTAATGGACACAGCAGCTTTTCTACTCAGATGTCATGGGTCAGCTAAGACCCATGGGCTTAAAGTTTTCCAGGTGACATCAAGTCTTGACCTAGTGGAAAGTAGTGAGATGAGGAGAAAGAGCACAGGCTAGCAGATGTGTGTGTGTGTGTGTGTGTGTGTGTGTGTGTGTGCGCGCGCGCGCGCACGTACGCGCATACCTTCCTCTCTTGCTACTTTGAAGAGGTCTGGCCTTTTCCTGATGCTGGGGTGTCAGCATCTCCCACCTCATTTCTTTCTCTCCCCAGCCCTTTGCTGACTAAAGGCACAAGGAGTGGAATAGAGAAGGCAACTCCATATTTACTCTGCATTTCTTCATCTCCAGGGCAGGGGTGCAAGGGGAGGTACCTGAGTGGGCATGGGGAGAAAGTGGGAAAAGGAAAGGTAAAGAGGAGGAAGTTTTTCCAGGGTACTTCCGGATTTTTAGAGGCTTCAAAGTAGAGGGATACTTGAGGTTTCTTTGTCTCCTAGGCTTGTTCACCCTTGTAATTAGGCAGGAGCCCTTGACAGGAAGACAGCCAGATTTTCTCTGGAGGGGACCTTGTTTAGTACTGCTCAGTTGGCTGAGCTCTG